CTCATTGAAAGATTATATGGCAAACTTTTTAAAATAAATTGTTTTAAATAATATATGTTAGTTTTTAATAATAAATTAAAAGTGGTTGATGACAAATACGCTATTGATTTAATTAAGAACAAAGATGAACATATAATGAGTAGAAAAATATTAAAAAACAAAAAGAGGAAAGTATAAGACTACTGATGAATAAATAATTTGTAAAATGATGATAATAAATAATTTTTCATTTGATTGATCTTCATTTTTCCTCATATTTTATATTGTCTTTATTTTCTTCTCACTCATAATCATAAAAAAAATCCTCAATAATAAAAAAAAAAAGAGAGAAAAAAAAAACTTAAAATGTTATGAAAAAAATATATGGATGAAGATTATTCAAATATAACTCAAGGGATCAAAACAATTTTTTCTCAAAAGTTTAGGGGGCTCCTGAGCTCCGCCATTGAAGTTAAATCAGAGATTTTGAAGTTTAAACAAAGATTAAATAAGGCCAAATCAATAATTTAATATGCAATCTAAGCAATAATTGTTGAAACAAAAAACAAGGCAATACTTTGAATCAATCAATGAGGCAAATGTGTCATTACTGAATTTTAGAGGTTGGGTTTTTAGTGATTGGGAGTTTTACTTTTATTGGTTACTTATAAACTTCTCCCCTTTCTTCTTCAAAATTTCCCACGTTAAAAAAAGAAAAAAAAGGTTAAGGCAATACTTTAAAAATCATCATTCAATTAATCTTAACATTTCTTTATCTTTTATATATATTTTTGGTATTAACCTCTTGGTATTCAAAAGTCACATTGGACTCCGATTAATCCGAAATCAAACCACGTCAGATCTCATATGGAAAAAAGCTCTCCCAACGTTTATTTTTTTATTTATAAGACTCGAATTCATAACTTTATTTAAAGGGAATTGAATTCCTTCAACTTGAATTAACAAGTCATTAGTATCTTTTATATTTTCTTCATTTACCTTGTCTTCTTACTATCACCAAAAGTAGCCTCTAATGGATAAAAATAAAAATGATTAAAATGATATAAAATCAAGAATTTAAGGACATTAAAAGTTAAAGGACTTCTTTTTCCCTAGCTTCAACATTGTGGTGGTAGAGTGAAATGGGTCATTTAATAAATTACATATTAACAATGATTTAAAAGTTTAAGGAATGATTTAATGATTTAAAAGTTTAAGGAATGATTTACTTTTTATAGAAGTAAAAGTTTTTAAATTTAAATTACATGACATATGTTAATAGAATGAGTATAAGGATATAAAAGGGATGGTCTCCTATTATTTAACCCAAAAACTAATAAATAAATAAATAATAATATGAAGTTGTTAGCAAAAGTTGCGAGTAAAGAAGTGTGACTAAATTATATATTTAAATCATATATTGTCAACTTCTTCACTAGAATTCCAAAGATTAGATTCATTGATAAACAAGTGTTATTTTATAAGTTAAATTTAAAATTTAAAATTTATTAAAACTAACATTTAAAAAAATTAATTTTCTTAAATGTATCAAGATAATGCTCTCTTATTCCTGATTGCTGCAGAGGGATTGAATGGTCTAGTGTCATCGGCAGTGGAAAAGAAAATGTACAAAGGTGTGCCAATTGGCAGCGGAGATATTATGGTAACACACCTACAATTTGCGGATGATACCATATTGTTCGAGGAGGCATCGAATGAGAATATTGAGGTGATCAAGTGCATTATGAGAACCTTCGAATTGGCTTCGGGGTTGAAAATAAATTTCAGAAAGAGTCAACTGATGGGAGTGGGAGTAGAACAAAACTGGAGATCTAAAATGGCTTACCGACTGTGTTGTAAAGAAGGAGAGTTCCCATTTAAATATCTGGGAATTCCAATTGGGGGGTGTCATAGAAGAGTAGCTATGTGGCAGCCACTGGTAGACTCTGTTAAAAGGAAGCTGGCTAGTTGGAAGGGTAGACATCTATCTATGGGAGGTCGCATCACGCTCATCAATTCAGTGCTATCAAGTCTGCCCGTGTTCTTGATGTCAGTCTTCATAATCCCAAAAGGTATAATCCATTCCATTGATAAAATTCGTAAATGCTTTTTATGGGGTGGGAGGGGAGAGGAAAGGAAAATAAACTGGGTAAGTTGGGAAAAAGTGTGTAAAAAGAAAGAGGAAGGGGGCCTAGGAGTGAGGGACTTAAGGAAATTTAACATGGCGTTGATGGGAAAATGGTGGGGTAGGCTTGCAGAAAATAGGGATAGCTTGTGGAAGAAAATCCTTGTTGAGAAGTATGGAAAGGGAGGGGGACACTGGCAAGATTGGATTACTGGAAATAATGGTGCAGGGTCAATATGGTGGAGGGATGTCTGCGGTTTGAACACTATGGATGGGGAGAGTGCAGGCCAGTTGAGGGAGGGTTTTAGAATTAACATAGGTGAGGGGAATAGTGTTAGTTTCTGGTGGGATGACTGGGGGGGAAAGGGGTGTCTTGCTAACAAGTTTCCAAGACTATATCTTCTTTCAACAGGAAAGACGCACATGTGCAACCAAATGGGAAGCGAAAGAGACGGATCATGGGAATGGAATCTAACATGGAGGAGAAAGTTGTTCGAGTGGGAAGCAGAAGAGATGATAGAATTGCAGAACATGATAAAAGATGTGAAGGTCTTGCAAGGGCGCCCTGATAATTGGGAGTGGATTCATGACAAGAACGGTCAATACTCAACAAAATCAGCCTACGCATTGTTAACAAAAGAGAAGAAAGGATCAACCGGAACTACAATCTTTACAAGAATATGGAACTCCACCTTTCCAAGCAAAATTTCAGCATTCAATTGGCAACTACTATTGGATAGAATTCCAACTAAAAAGAACCTGTTGAGAAGAGGGATCACCAAAGACATGAGAGAAAGCAAGTGTGAAATATGTGCTGAAGAAGAAGAGGACACGACGCACTTGTTCTTAAGTTGTAGGATTGCTCGATGGTTATGGAAGGCCTGTGCAAAGTGGTGGGGGACTAAGTTTTCGTTGGAAGTAGATTGCTAGAATACCTTTCAAAAATCAGGAGTTGTGTCTAAAGAGCCAAGCATCAAAGAAGGATGGGATTGCATATGGAATTCATTTGTTTGGTCTGTGTGGTTGGCTCGAAACCAAAAGATTTTCCAAGGCAAAGAGGTCAATCCAGGGAAGCTTCTTGAACTCATCCAATTGAGATCCTATCTTTGGATTAAATATAAAAATGATAGAATGAAAAGCAGCCTCTTCTCGATATCAGATTGGCTCCAGGATCCGGTTTCTTGCTTAAGAGATGCTACAGCAAGAAGATGGCAAAACAGGGCGATAAATCCAGGTTAAAGATCTGAATTCATAGGAAGGATCCAGTGGTGTCGACACCAAACGCGAGGTCTAAGCATCCAGAATCCGACATGGACGTGGTGTCGACACATAATTTTGGTGTCGACACCAGATGCGGGGGCTGAGCTTCCAGAACCCGATACGGACATAGTGTTGACACTTAATTCTGGTGTCGACACTAAATGGAAGGGACTTTTGATTATGTAAATCTATTCTTGTCAAGTGGAGATGTTCATGGGTTTGGGGTACTCCTTGTACTCCGTCTTTATTTTAATAAATATCACTTTTGCTGTTAAAAAAAAAAAATATAATGCTCTCTTAAGATCTCTTAAGAAAATATTAATCTCGATATATGTAAAAACTAACTCAAAAACATTTTAAATGTAAATAAAAATAAAAAACTCCTCCACTAGGCATGTTAAAATAGTAAAATTAATTGAATATAATATTAGGTAAACGTGATAGTTGTTTAAAACATTGTAAGTCTTGCATGACGCGAATTGTGATTGGGGATGCTTGAATGAAAAGCTTTCATTGTGATTTGGTGAAATTGATTAGCTCTTTTGAGAGTATAAAATGCTTGATTTAGACAAGTTGAGTTGCATCTCGATCCAAAAAAGAAAAATAAAGGACAAGTTGTGTTGCATCCCTTGGATTAAGGGAAGGATGAAACTTCGTTCATTTTCTTTCTCTAAATGAACTCTAATTCGAGTGACTGCATGGGATGCGTGAAGCACATGGCAGTACCACTAGTTTGATTTGGTTATTTGGATTGTATGTCTTCTGTCATTAGCTTAACATAAAGAGCATTCAAGTGAAAAATACATTGAATTTTGCTTTGGTAGATTTTCTCTATATCTATAAAATATTAGAAACTAACGATTAACTCACCTTCCAAAGGAAATAATTCAGTTTTTATTAATTTAAATACTATTTTTGTTTATTTTTAGTAATAAATTACTAAAAATAAATAGTGTAAGTAATAGTTTTCAAAGCATAATTTGACAAGTGATCAAATCATTGAGTTTCAATTTCCATTCTTTTTTTCTTTTTGGATGAATGGGGCTCATTGAGAATAGCCATTTCTTAAAAAGATTTTACCAATTTTATTAACTAAGTGAAGGCCGAAAAACCAACTAAGGTCCCGTTTGGTATAGCAGTTTTGGGGTAGTAGTTAGCGGTTTTACCTAAACCACTAAATATAGGTGTTTAGTAAATTTATATATTTCGAAACCGCTAAAACTAAAGTGTTTGGTAAAATTTTTATTTAGCGGTTTGAAACTAGCAGATAGCGGTGAGGGTCCAAATCGTTAGCGGATTGAAAAAGCTAGTTTATGTAACTTTTTGTACCAAACCGCTAGTGGATTAGAATTTTTTAATTTTATTGACAAATTTATCCATTTTAATTTTTTAATTTGTGATCACATTTTTTAATTAATAA